GTCTCACTGTGTTACCTAGAGTGCAGTGGTACAATCATGGCTCACTGCAATCTCTACCTCTTGGGCTCAAGTGATCCTCCCACATAAGCCTCCCAAGTATCTGAGAGGCTTATTTTTTTCTGCTTTTTGTAGAGAGAGGATCTCACTATGTTGCCCAGGCTGGTCTTGAACTCCTGGGTTCAAGCAGTCCTCCCACCTTGGCCTCCCAAAGTGTTGGGATTATAGGCACAACCTACCGCACCCAGCTGGGGACAGTTTTCAAGTAAGAGAAGGAACCTAGCATATGCAGAGGACACCTGTGCATAAGACCCATGCTTTTCCTGCCTTTTCTCATTTAACGCACCAGCCAATTCAAGATAAGGGACGTGATTCTCATTTTACAAATGGGAAAACCGGTTCTGAAGGGCCAAGTGCCATGCACATCCAATGCACATCCACATACAACATCCAGTGCAGGACTTGGCTCTAAATTGTCACACCCTGAGTTGAGGGCTTGGCGATTCTGTAACAGGTCAGGGGACTCTTGCTTTACTGTCTTTACTTAATTCGGTGAACTTGGTTTAAACATCACAACTGTAAACCGCTATTAGTCTATACAGAAGCACTGAAATGTTACTGAGGTTCTTGGTTTAAGTAAGTTCCATTTGTCTGTTTTTGGCTTTGTTGCCTGTGCTTTTGAGGTCTTAGTCAGTCGTGCATTCTTTGCATAGACCAATGTCCAGAAAAGTTTTCGCAGGATTTTCTTCTAGAATTTTTACAGTTCTGGGCCATACATTTAAGTCTTTAATCCATCTTGAGTTGATTTTTGTATACAGTGAGAGATAGGAGTCCAGTTTCACTCTTCTGCATGTGACTGTCCAATTTTCCCAGCACCATTTATTGAAAACGGTATTGTTTCCCATGTCTGTTCTTATCAGTTTTGTTGAAGATCACTTAACTGGAAATATGTGGCTCTATTTCGGGTTCTCTATTCTGTTCCATTGGTCTGTGTGTCTTTGTTTTTGCTGTTTTTTGAGACAGGGTCTCATTCTCTCACCCAGGCTGAAGTGCTATGGGGCGATCTTGGCTCGCTGCAACTTCTGCCTCTCAGGTTCAAGTGATTCTTCATCTCAGCCTCCCGAGTAGCTGGGGCTACAGGCACATGCCACCACGCTCAGCTAATTTTTATATTTTTTGATAGAGATAGTATTTTATCATGTTGGCCAAGCTGGTCTTCTACCTCCTGACCTCAAGTGATCTTCCCGCCTCAGCCTCCCAAAGTGCTGGGATTATAGGCATGCGCCACAGTGCCCAGCCTTTGTGTCTATTTTTATACCAGTACCATGCTGTTTTGGTTACTACAGCCTTGTAATTTGAAGTCGGTTAGTATGATGCCTCCAGCTTTGCTCTTGTTTGCTTGTTTTGAGACAGGGTCTCTGTCACCCAGGCTAGAGTGCAGTGGCATGATCACAGCTCATGGCAGCCTTGAACCTCGCTGGGCTCAAGCCATCCTCCCAGCTGAGCCTCTTGAATAGCTTAGACTGCAGGTGTGCGCCACTACACTCAGCTGAGTTTTTGTATCGGCGGGGTTTTGTCATGTTGCCCAGGCTAGTCTCCAACTCCTCAGCTCAAGCAACCCTCCCACCTCGGCCTCCCAAAGTGCTGGAATTACAGGTGTGAGCCATTAAACCTGGCCTAGCTTTGTTCTTTTTGCTCAGTTTGCTTTGGCTATCTGGGTTCTTTTTTGGCACCATATGAATTTTAGGATTTTTTTTCTAATACAGTGAAAAATGATTTTTTTGCTAGGAATTGCATAGAATCTGTAGATTGTCTTGGATAGTATGGTTGCTTTAACAGTATTATTTCTTCTGATCCATGAGCGTTGGATGGTTCTCCATTTGTTTGTGTCATCTTCAGTTTCTTCCTTGGGCTGTTGTTGTTTTGTTTTGTTTTGAGACAGAGTTTTGCTCTTGTTGCCCAGGCTGGAGTACAGTGGCATGATCTCAGCTCACTGCAACCTGCGCCTCCCAGGTTCAGGCAATTCTCCTGTTTCAGCCTCCCGAGTAGGTGGGATTATAGGCGCGTGCCACCACACCCAGCTAATTTTTTGTATTTTCAGTAGAGACGGGCTTTCATCATGTTGGCCAGCCTGGTCTCGAACTCCTGACCTCAGGTGATCCACCTGCCTTGGCCTCCCAAAGTGCTGAGATTACAGGCGTGAGCCACCACATCCAGCCATGCTAGTTGTTTTTAAGCTACAGTTTGAGCACCTAACATGCAGTACACATTGGACAGGTGATTTATGTACATTAGTCCTGACTAGTAGCAGTTTGGGGGAGTGGGCATTATCTTTATTATCCAGATGAGGGATCTTGAGGTCCAGAGAGGCAAAGAAACTTTCCCGGCGTAACTGTCAGAGAAGAGACTCAGACCTAGGTCTGTGTGACTCTAGGCCTGAGCTGTGACCACTGAGCTCTGCTCCTGGTGGAATGAGAGTCAGCTGTGGTGTCTCCATCTGCCTGGGCAGCCAGACTGTGCCTCATCCTCTTCCCACCTTCTTCCTCCCAGATAACAGCGACTTGATTGCGTGCACAGTGATCACTAAGGATGGTGGCATGGTCCAGCGATTCCTGGCTGTGGATATTTACCAGATGAGCTTGGTGGAGCCTGATGTGTCCAGACTTGGCTGGGGAGTGGTCAAGTTTGCAGGCCTTCTGCAGGTAAGATGGCCAGGAGCTCTGGAATCTCTTCTCAGTTGGCCACACACACACACACACACACACACACACACACACACTCTCTCTCTCTCTCTCTCTCTCTCTCTCTCTCTCTATCATCTTTGTCATTAATTTCTAGTGATATATGAGGTATATGTGAACGCACTGTCACCAAAAAAAACTAAAATATCACACATATGCACAGATGAAAGTAAAGTCCTCTTTGACCAAAACCCTCAATTCTTACACCTCCCCTCCACAACAGATAATCTTTATTATCAGTGTGACCTTTCCAGATCTGTTTTTCTGCCAAATGCATATATAAATGTAACTATGTGTACTATTTTTTAAAATGAGATGCATATACTTGAGAGTGTGTATGTGTGTTTTTTATGATGCCACTTTGAATGTGTTCTAAACTTTGCTTTTTTCATTTAATATCATCAGTAGTATGTCTTGGAGAGCCAGCCGCATTCATACACACAGACATCCTGGTATTCTTTTTCACTGCTGTGCGACTATAACAAGCCATGTTTATTTAGTCCATGCCCTGTCGGCTATTTCCAGTTGTCTGCCTTTCCTGAAGGTACTGCCACGAACGGAATCACTCTTACTTCTTTAGGCACTTGGGTGAGATTTCCCTAGGCTGATACCAAGAAGCTGAGGTGTACTAACTTTAAGTGTTAATAGACACTGCCAAATACCACTCTGAAATGATGGTTGCCACTAGTATTTTTGAGAATTCCCTTCTGCTTAGCGTCACTCCAGCAGAGCCGGCTCTGACTTGCCAGGCACCAAATTGGGGCTTGGGTTTTGGGGTTTTTTTGTTTTTAATGTTTGTCATTGTGGGCTGGGAGTGATGACTCCTGTCTATAATCCCAACACTGGGAGGCCGAGGCAGGCAGATCACTTGAGGTCAGGAGTTCGACACCAGCCTGGCTAACATGGTGAAACCCCTTCTCTACTAAAAATACAAAAATTAACCAGGCTTGTTGGCAGGAGCCTGTAATCCCAGCTACTCAGGAGGCTGAGGCATGAGAATCTCTTGAACTCGGGAGGCAAAGGTTGCAGTGAGCTGAGATCGCACCACTGCACTCCAGCCTGGGCAGCAGAGTGAGTCTCAAAAGAAAAACAAAGTTCGTCCATGTGATGGATGACTAGTGTCAGTTCATTGGGTGCATAAAGCAAAGAATCAGAAGAGGTGAAAGCAGGCTCCCAGGTCTCCCCTCTGCCATACCCCTTGTCCCTGGATGTCCAGCTGACACTTCAGGCTTGAGCTTTGCCCTGCTTCAAGGCAGTCCATTTCTTTGCCAGCCAGCCCTGGTTTCTGGAAGGGCCTTACCGAGGCCCCCAACCTCTGCCTCGCCACAGCCTGACCTGCTGTCTGTGTCCCGCTCTCTGCAAGAACCACCCACGTACTTGAAGCTGCTGTTACAGCCTCTTCCCCAACCTCCTCCTCTTCAGAATCCTTCTGTTGTAAAAGTGTCTTTTACAAAGTGTGATGTGAGAAACAACTATAGAAAAACCCTTCATTTAAAAAAAAGCACTCCATGTAAGACATTGTCCATTAAGTGACTTACGCTTATCTATCTAGGCTTTATCTAGGCTTATGATTAATTCTCTTTAGAATTTAGCGTCAGGAAAGTGTTTTCCTCCCCTGAAGAATTAATACACGTCTTCCATCAGACAATGAAAGCCACATAAACCTTTTTTTTTTTTTTGGCCATCTTCCAATAGCTACTATTTGTCAGCTCTTTACCATGTTCCCTGCTTTAAATGCAGAATACCTCATCCAATCCTTACTGCCGAGTTTTGATGGGGTGTTATCTCCAGAGAGCCCGTGCCAAATGTAATGCCTGAGAACCACAACCATCTTCCTCTGTGAGCCTTTTCCAACATTGTGCCCACCTCTTTTAACATTTCTGACCTTTGTGTTCATCCACTCTCAGGCTTTTATATCAGATCACCTCAAACCTTGATGGGAGCAGATTCTCTATGAAGAATCCATTCTGAGGTTTTAGATTGGGTTTGTCTTTGTTATATATTGCTGCATGTTCATTACTTCTCCACCTTTGAAACACAGCTTCCTTCACATCTCTACTTAATGGCTTTCCCTATCCCTTTCTCTTTTTTCTTTTTTTTTTTTTTTTTTTTTTTTTTTTTTTTTTTTTTTTTTTTTGAGACAGAGTCTCACTTTGTCACCCAGGCTAGAGTACAATGGCACGATCTCAGCTCACTGCAACCTCCGCCTCCCAGGTTCAAGCAATTCTCCTGCCTTACTCTCCCAAGTAGCTGGGGTTACAGGCACACGCCACCATGCCTGTTTCTATTTTTAGTAGAGATGGGGTTTCACCATGTTGGCCAGGCTGGTCTTGAACTCCTGGCCTCAAGTGATCCACCCGCCTCGGCCTCCCAAAGTGCTGGAGTTACAGTAGTGAGCCACCACGCCCAGCCCTGTCCCTTTCTCATGATTAGCTTTTCTCTTTCGGGACCAGAAATTTCTCAAAGATGTGCAAATGGCTGCCAATGATGTCCCATTCTTAGAAGAAATAAGGGAGAAATTGATGAGTAGATGAGTGATTATAGCTAAGATTATGCCAAATGGTGATAGGAATTTTGGTTCATTATTTCTGGCTCCTCAGAAGTAAGAGCTTGCCTGTTGTGTTACCTGTAGCCTTTTGAAGAAGCTTGTGGTACCCTCCTATTCATGGGCTGACCCAAGTCCTCATGGAAACAGGCACCACCCACCACCACTCACATCCTCTCCTTTGGGGCACTCCATGCCTCCCACACTGTCTTCTCCCACTGGGCCTGGTCTGCCTTGTGCCCATCCTTGACCCTGTTGGACTTGGGAGGCTGATTATCTTAGATCAAAAGCAGAGTTGGATTTGGAGACCTCTTTCTAGATGTCACATGATGCCACAGCTTCTAGCCACCCTCCTCCCAAACCCAACAAACCCCTGTCTTTTGCTTCTCACTTTGCAGGACATGCAAGTGACTGGAGTGGAGGATGACAGCCGTGCACTGAACATCACCATCCACAAGCCTGCATCCAGCCCCCATTCCAAACCCTTCCCCATCCTCCAGGCCACCTTCATCTTCTCTGACCATATCCGCTGCATCATCGCCAAGCAGCGCCTGGCCAAAGGCCGCATCCAGGCGAGGCGCATGAAGATGCAGAGGATAGCTGGTGAGTGGCCAGGCCCTGGTGGAGTGTCCTCTGGGCACTTGGTGGGGCAGGGATGTTCGTGGTTCTCACACTGACCTTGAGAACCCCCATAGCATAGAAGAAGACACCCATGATTCAGAAATTGTTTTATGTGAATACGAGGAATGTCCCATTTCCTGGGTGTTTGGTTTCTGGTGAATTTCTAGGGCTTCATGGAAGAGAAGGGGAGCCCTCCCTAGCAGCAGGAGGCCAGAAACAAGTAGACGTCACTGTGGGACCACTCTTCTCAGCCCTTCACACTGAAATTCTCAAGCTTATGTTAACAAAGTGCTTTGACATTGCTCTACCACCTTCAGTCCTTGAAACAAGTCTGGAGATCTGTAGGGACTGCTCTGCCCATTTTACGGAGAAGGAAACTGAGGCTCAGGGACTTGCCCAAAGTCAGCAGGCAGAACCCACAGGCAGAACTTCCTACTCCCGCTTCCCAGTTCTTAAAAGAGGTAGCCCTGCTTGGTGAAAGGCTGGAACCCTTGGAAGGAAGTCATTTTACATTTCATGGGGATTGCGGTGAATTTCTGAGGAAGTCTAACACTACCCAGTGTCAGGAAGGCCAAGATTTCTTAGAAACAAAGATGAGGGAGATGCATTCATTGGGCAGGAAGGCAAGGCTTTCTCCTCGGCTTTGCGGGGAAGGCATTCTGTCAACTCCTAAAACTATAAAGTCTTTCTCAAGATACCCAGTGCCATTCAGTTCAGACACCAGTGATCATCGGGGTGGCTTCTGAGAGGACTTTAGGCCTACCTGGGGATGTGGGGTGCTTTCTCAAGGGATAACTTAAAATAAGCCCGTGGCCAGGCATGGTGTTTCATGCCTGTATGTCAGCACGTTAGGATGCCAGGGCAGGTGACTCACCTGCACTCAGGAGTTTGAGACCCGCCTGGGAAACATGGCAAGACCTCATCTCTACAAAAAATACAAAAATGAGCCAGGTGTGGTGGCACATGCCTGAAGTTCCAGCTATTTTGGAGGCTAAGGCAGGAGGATCTCTTGAGCCTGGGAGGTGGCGGTTGCAGTGAGCCATGATTGCACCACTGCACTCCAGCCGAGGTGATAGAGTGAGACCCTGTATCAAATAAAAAATAATAATCCCGCGGAGGGCCGGTTACAGATGCGGTGATTTACTGTGCTGATTTGCACAGGCCCGCATCCCACATCGTCATCCCCATCTCATTTCTCACTTAGCTGAAACTTGGCCTACGAAATCATTACTGAAGCATTTTGTAATGTGCAAAGTGACTTAAATCATTCAGCCCTTTCTTTTAAGATTTATTTTCAGAGAGATTTTTTTTTTTTATGTAAAACAATTTCTCACAGCTGGCATGAAGGCCAAATATTTCATCTGAAAATTGAGAATTATGCTATAAAGTGGATGTTAGAACTAAAGCCTTGGGTATTTCTTAAATTGATTTTAAAAAGCCCCCCGAATGGATATATTGGGAGATTTGTTTATGGAAGGGAGGATAACGGCTGAGGCAGATAAACACCCACTCAGAGTTATACATGTACATGCACATACATGTTTTCACCTGCTGCTCCGCATGTGCAGGTATACGTACACACATATGTGTGTGAACTCTCTGGGCAAAGTTGGCTCCACTCGCTTGGGGTCTGAAACGCCTTCGTCAGGGTCCTTTACGCATGGAAGTTGAGAGTCCAAAGTGGAAATGGACCCAGCATCCATTCTACTTGAGGAGCCCGGGCTCGAACCCCCTTCTCCTTGGTTACCACCTGAAGGCCTGAAGCTCTCACTTGGCATTTGCTGTGCCTTGAGCCTCGGTGGAATCTTTGATGTTGCGCTGGACTCCCCAGCTCAAGGCTGCCTGCCACCTCCTTGGCGTCTCCCAAGTGATGCGCGTAGCAGGGCCACAGCCACTACAATGTCCCCCCCCCCGAAATTCTCACCACCCGCTCTGTCCCACATGCTGAGAATAAACCATGCTGTTGTTTGACTGTAGCCCTCCTGGACCTCCCAATCCAGCCCACCACTGAAGTCCTGGGGTTTGGACTCGGCTCCTCCAGCTCCACTCAGCACCTGCCTTTCCGCTTCTACGACCAGGGGCGCCGGGGCAGCAGTGACCCCACCGTGCAGCGCTCCGTGTTTGCATCTGTGGACAAGGTGCCAGGTGAGCCAGCCCCCCACCCTGCGCCGCAGCTCGTTCGTCATGGTGGGCATTCGGGCGTTCAAGGCTTTTCTCTCGATGGAGCCTGTGCGAACAGCCCTTCCTCTCTCAGAAGCCCTGTCGGCTAGCAGCACCAGCTTCTTAGAATTTATCAAAGCTCAGCTCGAGATGAAACACAGCCCCAAAAATAAATTTTGGCTTTCCCTTTGGTGTTTGGTTTGGTTTTCCAGAGATTTTTTTGGGTATGTGGAAGAACTTCTCAGAATTGACTAAGAAGTTTCTTGGAAATTTCTTGGAAACATTTAAATGATTAGTGATGAGATTGTGGGAGAGTAATTTCCTTCTCCATGTAAGATGACTAGAAAGAGATAGTGAGTTTGGTTCCTGTTACAACCCCCTGAAGAAGTGAGACTTCAGAAGAAGGCCTGCTCCCAGCAGGCTAGCTGTCCACCCCTTCCATGTGAGGGCACCTCCTCCCTCTTTCCCCAAAGCTCATCTCTAACCCTCCTCCTCCCCCCTTTCCAAAACAGAAACTTGAACGGAAAGTTCATTACTGATTTGTCAGAGTGGAAAGGATCACTTCTCCAAAAGACCGAGTTCTCCCCTTCTTATTCTGACATATCTGCTTTAAGTCAATCTCTGTGCACCCCCATCCATGGGAAGAGAACCTTTCTTTTGACTGCAGAACTTGAGAACACTGGCCAAGCTCTCCCTCACAATGTAGCCCCTCCCTGTGTAGGGCTTCAAACTTAAGTTGCAAGTGTTGTGAAATGTTTTCAAAAGCAGTTACTGATTTAAGAGCAGTATGCAGCCATCTGAACCTGCCCAGAATCTGCATCCTGGTTCCCCCACGTGATTTATTTTAGTTTCATTACTTGATTGAACAAATTCATTTTTTATATGTATATGCTGTAGGCATATGATTTTTTTAAATCCAGGTAGGACATGATCAAGTGAAAAGTAAGTCTACTTTGCTTCAGAAGTAACTGTTGTTAACAGTTTCTGGCCTGCCTTTCCAGTGATAGTTTTTTGTACATCATGCATATGTTTGTTTGTTTGTTACACATGGGGTATATACCATATGTTTGATGCTGCACCTGGCCTCTTCTTCCGTAATGGAAAGTGTTACACATTAACACGTATAAATCAACCTAATTCTTTTTAACTGTTATATGGTATTTAGTCATATGGGTGGGCAAAAAAATCTTTTTTGCTGTTTGGTATTTGGGTGATTTCCAGTGTCTTGCTCTCACAGTGAGCATCCTCAGGGTGTCTTTGTGTAATTGCGCAAATCTGGCATGTCTGTGTGATAAATTCCTAGCAGTGAATTTGCCAAAGGGGAAGGTTTTTAATCTTGGTATACGTATTCCCAACATGAACTCTAGAAAACAGTACACCAATTCACTTTGCCACCCATAGCTTGTGACTGATTTCTTTCTTAAAACCAGTCTTAGGTCTGGTCATGGTGGCTCATGCCTGTAATCCCATCACTTCGGGAGGCTAAGGTAGGTAGGTTGCTTGAGTCCAGGAGTTCCAGAGCAGCCTGGGCAACATAGTGAGACCTTGTCTCTAGTATACTTGCCGGATGTGGTGGGGCGCGCCTTTGGTCTCAGCTATACTCTCGAGGCTGAGGTGGGAGGGTCACTTGAGCCAGGAGGTTGAGGCTGCAGTGAGCTGTGATTGTACCACTGTACTCCAGCCTGGGCAACAGAGTGAGACCCTGTCTCAAAAAGAAAAGAAAACTATCTTAGGCTGAGAGACCGATTGTGGCACCGCCTCTGTTTTTAGCTATGAAGTGTGAGATGCCTGTCTCAGGGTCTGGAGGATTCTTTGTGTAAAAATTCTACAGGTTGCTTCATGCTCTGTAGCCATGATTGCTAAGTAAATATAAAGTACGACTGAGTCTCAGTTAACTAAGTACAAATTGACCTGGTAAGGAATGACTTCTTTAGGGTCATGGAGGCATCTTTCAGTTTTGGGACGACTGGTTAAGGAGAAAAGCGCAGGTCTTATTTCCGCTTCGATCCCTCTTGAACAAGGTAGAGTGTAAATAAATAAATAGAGCCAAGTGGCGTGTTCTTCGGCGTCTCCATGATCGTTTCTCTGTTTGCAGAATGCTTTAGGATGACTTATTGCTCACCTCTTCCACCCTGTGTGGCCTTCCAGTGGAGGGGGAAGATCAAGTGCTGGGAGTGTGGCCTGGCTCCAGAACCTGGGCCTGACTGGCAGGGCGGATGGCACAGCTGGGATGCCCCATGTCCTGTTGCTGGTACCAGGGTCAGCAAGTATGGGGCTGTGCCAACTGGGACAACAGAAAGTCAAAGGCGGTTGTTGAAGGCAGCATCTAGCCCTTGGCTGTGTCCCCCCTGCCTGTCCCTGGAAGTGCCACTCAGGTGTGAGGGGTGGGATGGAGACAGTCTTATTTATGCTCACCCCGACCCCCACAAAGAGAGAGGCCTCACTGCCTTCCCGCCTGGGCTTGGCACCAGAGCCGTGGCCTGAAGGGCAAGTTGAAATCCCTGAGCCGTGGCATGGTGGGAGCATAAGCTGCCCCCACCCCATCTCAGTAGTCAGGGTCCCCACAGCAGCAGCCACTCAGCACCTTGGAATCATTCTTAAATCTTTTCACCCCACTCCCACACCCAGCAGCCTGCTTGGCCTGTAGAAAATACTGAGATCTGAGATCTCCCCTCCCACATCTCCCAGGATTGCAATGGAAGCCTCCTCAGGATCCCCAGCTTCTATTCAGCCAGTGGGATCCTTTTAGTCCTTAAATCAGATTATGTCATACCCCTGCCTCCAGCTTTCTGGTGGTTTCCTGTTGTACTTAGAACAAAATCCACATCTCTCCTTCTGATCTTGGGTGATGGCCGTGAGAGCTGGCCCCAACCAGCCTCTCAGATGAAGTTCCCCCTCCCCCAAGCTCACCCCAGCCTTGCCAGCCCCTGCTGCTCCTCTACGCCAGCATTTCTCACAGTTTTAGCCTTAGCACCACGTGTTTGTTTATGTACTTAAAAAGTACTACAGAACTTAAAGAGCTTTCATTTAGATAGATTACATTTATATTTATGACATTAGACATTAAAACTAAGAAATGCTTTTAATATATATTTATTGAATAAATCCATTGTATGTATGCATAACCGAGTTTCCTATGAACAATAACTCTATTTTCTAAAACACACAAAAAAATGGATTGTGTGCATTTCTACAAATCTCTTTAATCCATGGCTTAATAGAAGACATCTGGATTCTCCTCTTTGCTTCTGTTTTCTGTCTGTTGTGATAGCATGCGTTCTGTGGCTTCTGGAAAACTCCTCAGTACACTCCTGGGAAAATGAACATAAAAGAAAAAATGTCTTACTATTTTTATGAAAACAGGGATTTCCAGACCACACTTTGAGACCCACTCCTGTATATCACCGCTGCCTTCCCTGCCTCAGGCCCTTGCACTGCATGTCTGTCCCCGGATGTTGGTGTCGCTGCCTCCCGCTAACGGCTCAAGCTTAGTCTGTATGCTGCCTCTTCAGAGGCCTTTTCGGATCAGCCCCTGGCTAGGGTTAGGGTTGCCCCCTCCCTCCATCGCATTGGCCTGGTTCCTTTTATCCACAGCGCTGAGGTTCTTTACCTGGCTGATGCTTTTGTGCGCCTGCTCATAGTCTTTCTCCCCTGCAGAGAGAGTTGCCTGCTGGGAACCCTCTCTGCAGGGGAGAAAGACTATGCTGTTCACCCCCGTATCTCAGCGCCTAGCTCTGTGCTCTTACTCAGTGTTTGTTGAACGAAGAAAGAGCCTGCACTTGTTCTCTGCTCAGCCTTGGAAGAGAGCCCATCAAAGGCCTTCTCCCTTCTCTGAACACTAGACAGACGAGGTAAGTCCCTCTGGGGCCCTAGACACTTGGTGGTTTAGTCCACAGCACTTTGACAAGGGAACACAAAGGAGCTAAGACCCCAGAAGAACTTAAGCAGCATCCCTCAGCTAAATTTCCGTCACCAAGTGAGCAAGATGTGTGTCCAGGGACCGTGTACCCAGGTGACAGATTTAGGTTGGTTGCATATCAACTGAATTTCACCACTCTCCCGAACTCAGAGTTTTACAGAAGCCAAAGAGCAGCGCCAGAGTGGGAGCTGGGTGTCAGAGGGGGATTCGGTCATCAGAAGCCTGGCCCAGGTTGGCCTCTGATACTGTGACATCCCACCATTGCTGTCGAGGGCCCGTGGGTGCTGGGGCACGACACCTTCCCACCCTCCACAGTGGTGTCCCTCCCCACAGGCCACACAGTGTGGAGTCCTTGCCTCTGCCTGGGGAATAATTCACAAGGAAGAAAACAACCCTGGCTGTGTGCCCCGGGGTGGCTGCCAGACAAGTATGTTTTATTAGGATACGTCTTCCGATTTTATCTGCGGGCCCAGGTAATTGTCATAGAGCAGTTTGTCTCCCCTTTAGAAGCTATAAACGATTATATTTGATGACAATATGCCTTTCATTTCCTTGGAGGAGATATTAAAGTAGTGTATAAATCAGGGCTAATAGGTGACTAGCCACTTTGGTGTCTTTTTCTTCTTCCATTTAACTTAGAAAAAAGATCACAAATTCTATTTATTGGCTGATTTTATGTTGATGGCTCTCACCCTCACAGAATGTTCAGCTTCACAAGGGATTGTGCATGCACCTGGCTAAGGAGGGGGGCCAGTGGTGGCTGGTAGGTGGGGGTGGCCAGGCATGGCCAGGTCTAGCCTCTGGCCTGAGCTCTCTGTGGCTTCAAGGTGCCACGCTGCTGTGGTTAGTGCCTCGTGGACCTGGCCCATGGTAACAGCTGCTTCTAGAGATAGATGGACTCTGCCCTGATGGGCAGGGTGTCCAAAACTCGCTGTAAGGCCATCCTTTCCATAAACTCCAAGTGGACCAGCAGACCCCAGAGTAGAGGCTGTTCCCCAGAAATTACTCAGGGGTATCGGGGGCTGTGGCTTCCCAGAGCAGCTTTGCTCCTCAGTCCTGGGCTCCT